AGAAGAAGATAAAGAATTGAGTTGGAAGTCCAACTGAAGGTGTGCAAAGCAATCTTGAGCAGCCAGTAGAGGCTGGAATTGCCCACCCCTGCTGTAGGCAGTCCAGACCTAAGTTTTGTGGCAAGCAAGTTATCACAACATTTCCATGAACCAACAAAGGAACAATGGGTAACTGTGAAGCATGTATTAAGATATCTCAGACGGTCCAAGGATAAGAAGTTGTGTTTTAGGAGAAACAATGAAAATTTAGGTCTAGTAGCCTACAGTAATGCTGTGTGAACCTATGTAAGAACAGTTCTCTAGTTTCATGGAAGACAAAGAAACAGCCCACTGTGGCGCTCTCTACCTGTGAAGCAGAATATATGGCTCTGGCTTCTACAATACAAGAGTTTATATATTTAGGGCAGCTTTTGAAAGGTATAGATAGCTAAAAACCTGTGAATCATCAGAGGTGCAAAGATGTGGACATTAAATATCATTTTGTAAGGCCCATTGTAAATGGACGAAAATGTGCCTGTTATATTGCACTACTGAAGAAATGGTTGCAGATGTTATGACCAAACCTGTGTCTAAGCTAAAACTTGGAAAGTTTGCAGACATCATGTTTTGGTGAGTCCACATCTGTATGGTAGTTTACAGGACAATATTCTTTAGATTCCAGCAACCTGAGTACAAGACGGGGTGTTGAGATATTTATCGTGTGTACTGAGTTGTAAATATGTTGGACCGCATTATTTGTTATTGTTGTTTAAAGGAGATGCAGTATTTTGGGTGTCACCACAAGGGGGCAGTTTTCACTGTGAAGGAAAGTATGCTGTGAGTTGATTGCTGTTGATGTTGCACTGCTCAAAATACACTACTGTACAAATAAATGTGTATGATTAATGTGTAAATTAAAAGTAACGTAGGCCTACTCATGAATTAATTTACAAATATAACCCAATAATGAGTCCTAAATATTCAAGAACTTTTACTTTTACTACAAACTTTTTGTTGAAACTTAGTTTGAGTGAAAAAAGTATTGAATTTATGAATTTGAAAGATATAAATACTTAAATACACCAGTCTGAAAAACAGTTACTTAATGCAATTTTAGACTGATTTTAAACTGATGTAAAATGTTTGAGAAAGAAAGAACGACTGACCAAAAGCTACCTAAAACAAATCGGTCAAAGTGAAATAAAATGCAAATAAGGCTGAAACAATGGTCATGGTAGTTTGTGGTCCTTCACTTCTGATAGCAGGAGCTCACACATAGCAGCTGTCCACACACCTGATAATCAAATGCTGTCAAATGAGAGCAGATAAAAGCTAAATGGGCTGTCTGTTCCTTTTAAAAAGTTTGTTGTTTGCATTTAAACAGATTGGGGCTCTTCAAATACCAGCAAAACGTGTATCTGTTCATTGGTTTTGGTGAGTGCTGTGAGGCAGGCAGGGTGAAGGACCCAAATCCAGGAATCAAAGTAAAGTAAAACTCAAAGCTCAGCCTTTATTGCTATAAAAACTCTTCGTAGCATTAAACATTACAAAACTGAACAAAAACCTCAAATGCAGAACTAAAAGCTAAACTGGGAACTGGAACCTAGAAACTAAAAGACTCAAGCCAACCAATGCTCAGGACACGGAGGGAGAATACACAGCACAGAGACATTGTCATTCACTGCTTTCTGTCGCACCGTACACGGGCAAAACAAAACAGGAGCACCAAAAGTCAAAACAAAAAAGTCCAAAAACAGTGTCCCAAACAACCCAATTTGGGTGGCTGACCCAGAAGGTTGAGAGCCCAGGAGCCTGGAAAACAGTTCAGGAGGCAGCCCATTGAGCCAACAGTGACAGAGGATCTCAGGAGGCCGACCGCAAAACAGTGGAGGCGACTAGCTGAGGCAGACAGCTGGTGTGACCCCTCAGATCCTCCAGCGGAAACAGACGGTGGCATGCAAGCCACTGAGTGCTGGAGCGGGTCACCAGAGCCCCCAGTGGGAAACAGACACAGGGCCAGCAGGTATGGAGGCCCCTGGCTGAGACAAAGCTAGCTGAGGCTACGTGGAACACCCAGCCAGCTCTGGACACTTCGCCACAGCGCTGCAGCGAGACAAAGTTTATTGCAGGCTGGGTGAGCTCGCCTGAGCTCTCTGTGGAAGCTGCTGCAGACAGCTGAAATGGCCTGGTAGAGCTTTCAGGTGACACAGCTGAAGGAGGCTGAGAGAGTTCAGCTGAGCTCTCAGTCGATGATGGTGGTAGCTGAACCAACTGTACTAGCTCCATATCCTCCAGGGGCCCAGAGTCTGCTGAGGTCTGAAACTCAGCCTCTGGGGAAGCCCTGGAGAGAGTGACAGTCTCCTCCTTCTTGGGACACAGAAATGCTCTTTGTAATTTGTTTCTCTGCTGAGAATGAGCAATTGAAAAACAGCCCTTTACATTCACAGTCTTAGAGTTAACATTCCTGGTCATTAGAACTATGGGCTCGGCAGGAGCAACATTGAAACAGTCAGTAAAGTCCTGTGAATGGGGACTTCTGTCTGTCTCAGACAGAAGAACCAGTTGTTAACGCCTCTGCAGTTATCTTAGCAGTAAAACAATTACCTTTAGTTCACTGAGGATTTACAGACTCAAGGTTAACAGGCTCAGAAACAGATAACTCTACCTCAGAATATACTGACTTAAAATTTACAGATTTAGTGAAAGAGTATTGGTTCAGACTCAATGTTAGCTTGTTAGTTTGTGATTTTGCCCCTTGTGCAGTGTAGCAAATGTTCTCCAACTGACTGGCACAAACAGAAATCTCAGGTTTTTCAAAATCAGAAACAAAATCAGATTTCTTGTTCCTTGGGCAGAGAGAAACAGCTTTTAGGTCTTGTGAGGTGAGGTCCTCAGTCACGGTCTTAATTGTTATACATTTTGGAGGGGTAAGGAAAAATTCTGTTCTACTCACCACGGCCGTCTGTTCTGAAGAAGTCCCTGGTGTGGGCTGTGGCGGGCAGGATGAAGGACCCAAATGCAGAACTCAGAAACAGAAAGTAAAACTCAAAGCTCAGCTTTTATTGCTGCAAAAACTCTTTGTAGGAATTAACATTACAAGAACAAACCAAAACCTCAAATGCAGAACTAAAAACTAAACTGGGCACTGGACCCTAGAAACTAAGAAACTCGAGCCAGGCAATGCTCAGGACACAAAGGGAGAACACAGCATGGAGACATTGTGTATGACGCGATAGCAAGCAATGAATGACAAAGGACTAAAATACACAGCGGAGTGATTTGGGAAGTGGAGACAGGAGGAAAGCACAGGAAAACAATACCAAAATACAAGAAACTCAAAATGCTGGGTCCAAATGACCCAGAACTGTGACAAATGCTACAAGACAGACTTGAGTCCAATGAGAAAAAAGTGCTGTTAAAAATGACTCACCCTTATGGCTCCGAGTGATGTCACCATTTATTTAATTACACGCACTCATCCTGTACTATGTACTGACAAAGAAAGGAGCGCAGTGCTGTTAAAACTTTGATTTAAATTTTATAGGTTTATTCTTTAAAAAGAAGATGCAAAGAACTACAAGGAGATGCCGGCAAAGAGACAGGACATGCTGGAGAGATTATGGCTCTTAGCTGACTGACATTTCAATGACTTAAGGCAAGTAGGTCTGCTGAGTGATGATAAAATAAAACAGGCTTACACAGTGTTTATAGTTTAATTATGAGAAATGCAAATGTGAGCCAAACATCACCATTTTAATGAATAAAACAAAAAATAAATAACAAATCAATAAAAATACAACACATAACAATGCATATTTTAAAATAACACAAACTGGTTTGGCAGCAGTCCCACTGTTCTTGTTGAACTGCTGTGTTTGTGCCTGCATAACTGAGCAGTAGATCACCACAGAGCATCTGTCAGTACATTAATAACCTAATTATTAAAGTCCCACAGCAAAGTGCAAGAGACCAAGCAGCTCACTGTGGTTTAAAATACAACAGGTCAAAAACCCCGAAAAACCACAGCACCTTTTGTCACACAGCTTTATTTGCTCATCAGCTTCTACCTGAGAGGGCAGTGTTTGCCAGGGCAGCCAGACTGTCACAAGTCTGTGAGGCACACGCTGGAAGACGTCTCAAGATAGACGCAACCTCTGAGCCCTGAGCGAGACCGTCCGCCTCGCAGATTCATCACAAGGCTTCGACTCCTCTCAGACTCGGCCGTCTGGAGTCGAGTCTCACCGAGAAGCGAGTCCCACAGCAGACCTCTGCTGTATATCTGTCAATACACAGGAAGCCCATTAGCCCTGTGTGTTTGTGTGCTGCATGAGAGGGAACAGGAATGTGCCAAACCTCAACAGAGATGTCTGTGTTGGGGTATCTCC